AAAAATCTAAAAAAAAAAAAATTAAACTTGAAAACTTGAAACAGACCATTAGTCATTACTTTTAATAAGAAGATGAGATCAGAACCACACTGAGAATATCATCTCACACCTATGAAGATGGCACACACTGAAAAGATCCTCAACAAGAGCTGGAGAGGATAAGGAGAAAGACCAGTCTTGTTATACTACTGGTGGGAACGTTGGGTGGTGCAGCCATTTTGGAGAGTGATCTGGATTTATATAAACTAAAAATGTAAATACTGGGGAATACCTAGCAGTCCCACTCTTAAATATCTGTCCAAAGGATGTGGTACCATCAACTCAAAAAATTACACGCTCCATAGTGTTTGTAGCAGCATCTATTATACTAGGATATGAAACAAGCTAGTGTCTGCTGAAAGGGGGTTGGAGCAAGGTGTGGTATAATCCACATAATGGAATACTATTCAGCTGTAAGAAAAGATGAAATACTGCCATTTTCAGCAAATGGAGGGAGTTGGAGAGAAATACCATGTTCAGTATAGCAAACCAAAATGACAAAGATAGCAAATACTCAATGTTTACATAGCATATAATAGATGACGTGTCAAGCAAAAATATTTGTAAAACTAGCAGACACTAATGAAGTTTGTTTTTCAAGGTTCAGAGGAGGGGTGGGTAGAAAGGGTTAAAGAAGAGATGGTGGGGAAAAGTATAAAATAAGATCTAAACTCATGAGGACTTTAGATTTGGAATTCTATTTACAACCCTCCCTTGAGTTTTCACCTTAAAATCCCGACTGTTTTTATGCTGTGATTATTGTTAATAAGGATGCCCTATATTCCTGGGAGACACCATAGTCTGAATTTCCTCAGTCAACACTGTATCTTTTGAAACCTGGTATTCAATTTCAGCTTATTTATAGGTGAGAGGTAAAGCTAGTCTCTCACAAGTAGTTTGTGGCTATAGTAAAGACTAGCAGACCTGGGTCATCTTCATTTCCAATCACATAATCGAGCATCCTGAGTTTATGAACTAGAGGGGGCAGGCTGTAGACACGGGCCACACAGGGAGATCTAAACCTGAGGAGAGCAAGTGACTGAGGTCCCATTTGCTGGTAGCTAGGGTTTTCTCTAACACTGTCTCGTGTTTCTGTTGTGTCACATAAATTATTAGTTGTGGTTTAGATTAATTAAGGGCTCTTCTATTAATAAAGATGAGGTTGCTTGCTCAGGTTATGAGATTGGATTTTTCTCAGTTCTGAGGGTCTGTGGTACTGTTTTGAACTCTTACTAAGTAATATATTCTATGATTAGAATCTAGAATAAAATTGCCAGAATAATTTGGAGTTTTGCATTCACTCAGAGGTTTAAGAAGAGGTGATTAGGGTTGTGACTCTCACAAGTCTGAAGAAGAGAAAACTAAAGACAGATTGTCTAACACACAGTTTATAGAGCTGTTGGGCTCCTTAATTCATTCTGGAGTTCTGATGAAGAAGGTAAGAACTCTGATCTGTGGGAACTCTGGTTGTAAAATCAAGGAATCCCTTCAGGTGATGACATCAGTTTGTTCTGTTTTCCTCCAGCTGGTTTCCCCATGGGCTACGCCGCAGCTGCTCCTGCCTACTCCCCCAGCATGTACCCTGGAGCAAATCCTACCTTCCAAACAGGTATGCAGGTCATATGTGTCGGTGCAGCAGTGTTTGGTTCAGGTAGCAGGGGTAGATTGAAAAGTGGGTGGATTGTGAGAAAAGTGCTTATGGAATTAGGATTTGGGGTTGAATTGATTTCATGATTTATAAAATTAGCCATGTTGGTGAATGCAGTAAAAGTTTAACTCTTAGTGCATCTAAAGCTTTAGCTAGTGCATTTCTGATGTCCTTCCACAAAATGTCTTCAGTCTAATCATAGGTTGTTAGAGGTTGTGCCAGAAGTTCTTAAGAAATAGTGTTGATTTCTAGAAATTAAAGGACATGTAGCCATCGATCTGCTGAGGTGCTTTGCCCCTTAGAGTCCCTGGCCTCACAGTTTTGATAGAAGAGACACTAGTGCTGCTTTTCTGAATGCTTTGTTTTGTTAATCACAAAATTCTTCCTTATGACTCTTCTTTCTTTTTTTCCATTCCTACTCTGACCACCTTTATTCAGCCTGTCGCTCACACCCAGAGGAAGATATGGCTTGGTCTTCCTGAGTTCTTATATCAGAGGAACGTTAGCCCATGGTTTCTGACTGTAAGACAGTGAAGCCAAGCCTCACTGTACATGCCTAGTAGCTCTTTGCCTCCTTCGTCAGCTCTTGCCCAAATAGTTTTTGCTTAGCTTTTGTTCACATTCTTTCTCTCCCAGCTGGACATTAGTAATACCTGCTATTTTGTGCCTGTCTTTTGGGGATGTTAAGGAACACTTCTTCCCTGGTATCAGCAGTATGATTACTCACTGCTGAACACCTTAACATTTTACAAACAGCTCTTGAGATATCAATGTCATATGGTAAACTCTGCTTAATGAATGTATACCTTGATAATGTTTGATATCATTTACAACACTCTCAATGCAGAACAAAAGTGTTCTCCTTCCTCTTAGTAGTCTCACAGAGGAGCCAGGAAATCACTGACCTGTTTACTCATACTTGGTGGTTTGTATTTTCTAAAATATTATATAAGGGATTCATAAGAGTGTACTTTT